TGCGGGTGGATGGAAGGCGCCACTGGTAGGTCCCACTTCTTTCCTTTCTGTCAGTTGTTTCTGTCTATCTGTCTTTCTTTTCCCTGCAGTAAATGACAATTGTTGTGTCGATGTGCTTCTCTTTACTCAAAAGACAAAGCGAGGGGCTTTTTATGTATGCATTTCGGTTCATTTGAATCTTCCCGAGTTGGTGTAGAGCAGAAGAAATTAGATAAAGTCAAACCTCTGGTAATGTCTGACTTCCGCAACGTGTAAAGTGTGCGAATTTTTACTTTTCTATGTGCGGTTGCTATGTTTCTATTTCAACTGATGATGATGATGATGATGATGATGATGATGATGATGATGATGATGATGATGATGATGATGATGATGATGGTAGTTTATTAATTGATTTATGGCCAAAAAAATACACCAACGAAATCTATCCTGATGTGGCCTAAAGTGTGTGTGCAAGAGACCCTATGTGCTCGCGTCTGGTATATTCCACTCTCAAGACTTTTTAAAAAGATGAAACTATTCAGGACAAAGCCCTTAAACTTTGATTGCTGTACGCGTCCCACAATTTTTGTTTTCGCTTTCCGACCGCAATTTGGTGGTTATCTTCAAGAAAATCTTGTCCAATATGCACCAGCGGGGCAATGCAAATCCCTAAAATTGCCGCTGTATTGCCCGCTAGGCTAATGGGAATAAGGTCTGTGGAGCCTTTTGGAATGAGTTTTCCATAATGACTTGTGGGCCAAATCTTCGCCAAGTTTGTAACCATAATCCGGGGATTTTGCAGTCTCTTTAAGGGGGAACGTTTTCTTCAAGGTACAGGGTGATTAAGGTCGCACCTTTCTTCAGTCTTATTTGTTTTGCTGCGGTGATGGACTTCAGCTCCGTCTTTACGTCAGTACTGAAGTGATTTCGTCTTTTTTAGTCTTTGTCTTTGCACAAGCGTACAATATCCCCACCCCCACCTTAATTTCTCCCTTCACCCTCCTTCCCCTCTCTCTCTCTCTCTCTCTCTCTCTCTCTC